TACAAATATACCGAAGATATTTGTAAGCAATATCCACGGAATCATATTAATTCCTCTAGCGTTATCAGACTTATTTGATGGTTGCTGTTAAGATAACCCAACTCGTTTCTTGAAGAACGTTTTTGAAATATGAACGTTGGTTCCAGTTTTTAAGCTCTCTTCAATCCTTCTCAATCTGAACTAGGTCATCAAGCTTCGAAGGGGTTTTTTTTTGAAGAAAATGGGGATTTTTGTGGTGCAGTGTTTTACATTTATTGCAGCGCCTGTTGGCTTCACCGTCTTTTGGCGGGGTCTAATTTCTAGCAAAAATGCCGAAATTTTTTTTGACTTCTCGATCGGTTACAGTGTTCCTTAGTTTTCTTAAAAAGATGTGCATCTAATTTCATTCGACAATACTTTGGATCGCTACCATTTCAATGAGGGCCAAGGTAATGAGGGGACCAGTCGCTGCCGCGCGTGCGGCATGCTGGCTTCCTTAGGTGCGAGGTGAGGAATTCGTGAGCCAGGGGAATGTCGTCTGATTAGGGGGGGGGGGGTATGGGGAGAGTCACTCCATTGCGTGAAGACACGGAATAAGCGAGGTATATCTTCCTGAGGCGGCGTGGACGTGCCGCGCGCGGCAGCGTCACTAGTCCCCCACCCAATTACGTTAGCTTCCCGTAATGTTCCGCAATCAGGGTTACTTTAAAGAGTAGGGAAGCAAATTGGCGCAGGCTAGAAGGTATTCACGTCAAGAGATTGAAAGCGCAACGCCGAAAATAATTGATCGGTGGATGCAGCGCCTGCAGGACATTTTATCGAAATATTTTTTTAGGTTCGAACGCCGGTGACGAATATGGCTCGCACCTCTTTCTTTCATATAAAAAGGGGAAACGTCTGGATTTGTGCCGTAACCCGCCAAAATGTGGGTGCTGCAATGGTGTTCGAGGTGAGCTATGTAACTTGAGTATTGTTTTTGTTCTCTGGGATAGATTCAGAGTTCTGAATCAGACCTAGCATTTGGTGCCACCACTACTTGCATGACACTTCAAGACTGGCTGCAGCAATCTCCTTTGAATAATTTGTGTTCACAATTCAAAATTGACTTCAATTTTGCATTAATCCAATTAGAAATATGGGTATGCATAATGAAACCGGTTACATCCAGTAACGCATGTACTTCTTTTGGATTTTCTTTGTATTCTCAACCGTAGTTGCCCCAATGAGGGCCTATATGTTGAGTAGTTTCGGGTGATAAGTGTTTTTACTGTAGAAATCGGAACGTGATGAAGGTAAAGAAATTCATTAATATAATAGAAACAAGAAAGTTCAATGTGGATTTCATCCCCTCACTGCCCACGGTGGCGATTTTAGTAGAACGTCAGAAAAGAGATTTGTTTCTGTTGTATTCAAAAGAGTGTCAAACCTATCCTCCACCGCTACTTCTGTTCCTTTTCACATTTTTCGTTTCTAAAAGAAGACCTTCGAGGTTTACTGTCAGAGATCTTCCAAATGTGTGAGCACTGATACGTACAGCTTCTATTGTGGCGTCGTGGTTTTCAATTCGGTCAATCTATATTGTTGCGTACTGATAAGCATAGTGCCGTGTTTTTGTACTATGATTATAGCAATTGATATGGAATTTTTATCTAAATTTTTAATTCCGTGTTCCGAAAATTTATCGAGCAATCATTGACATCTTGGTACGATAATTCAGTGGTATTTTTTAGTCCTCATCTGGAACAGTTATGGGGCGTTATGAAATGGTTTCCAAAATGACTGAGTATTTCTCATGAACGTTTAGTTTTGAGTCTTATAGCTGTTTTTAGTTCCTGAATAAATTCGCCGATACAATGCAGTCATATTTTGGCAAACTCAATGAGGAGAACGTCAAAAAAAACAACTTCGTGTTGATCTATGAGCTGTTGGACGGTTAGTTTTCTGTTCGATAAAGTTTTTCCTCTTTTGTTAAGAGTTTTTACTTTTTCTTCCATACTGGTTATTTGTTATTAGTAATTTATAACCGCAGCAGACGTAAATACACTATCACGTAGGATTTGCTGACTTAAAGGAATGAAATGACGCAATTTATTTATTTTCTTTAAAAGTGGTACTTCGAGAAGGGAAATTCACACTGTATCCCCTTGGTGACGCTAATCTCTTTCACTTCCTGTACCCATCGCTCAGTTTTGAAATTTGTCATTTGAAACAATGTCGAATATGGTTTGCATCGGAAAACTACTCGTCGGAAATTCGTTGGTCGGTTGATGGCCGATCTTTCTAGGGTGAGAATGAAGTTGGTGTAGCCACTCCATTGTGCTGTGGGCTAGAGCGCGTGACGGATTTGGTGGAGGCTGTATCAGTTCTGAGTGGAGCGATGAAACGATTCTAAGCAATGTGGATGGGAACTTTTATGTCTCAGAACGGAGCTGGGAAGAAGAGGATCTTTTTTCGTTCTAGGCTTAGTCCTGAGCTCTCTCAGTGATACAGCACCAATACTGCCAGGTCTTAGTAAGAGAGTCAGACGAGCACGCGAAGACGAGTGCTTCTCTCAACTCCATTTTAGCCATTTTGAGCCCTAGGTCGTGAGCGAAACTAATGCGATGTCTCCTTTTGCGAATCGATTCCGCGGTGCTCTTCAGCCAAATGCTTGCCATGTAGGGTTGCTATATAATGCCGCGCCTTTTTTCAGCAAGGTGCACCTTTACGCGTATCACTAGAGCCCTTCCAGTTTCCTCCAATGGATGTTGCGTTGCACATTTGATATTCAATTGAATTCTGAAGTGCAAATTCTGGCATGCGAAACACATTTCTGCCAGAAAAGCGCTTGAGGAGTTCTGGATTCACGCAAGAAGAAAATCCTGGAATGAACAACGCAAAAAGTGTCCATGTTCCACAAATGGTCTCTCATTTATTTATCTGCAGTCGTTTGCGCCACATTGTGAGCTACCGAAATAAACACTGAGGCTGCATATCCAAAGTATAGCTCCTATAAAGAAACGCAAAATGTGTTCCATTTACATTACTATAAAGAGTGGTGCTGTTCCGCTCTCGCGAGGTAGGCTTGTTGAGTTTGTTTCCCTTGGTCAAGTTTTTGAATGATTTCTCTATTTTCGAATGATTTTTCTAATGTTCTGTCAGAAGCGCTGGGATAGGATGTGTTGGACGGTTAAGATGGCATACTCGTAAACAATGAACCGACGTTAGGTCTGCGAGATGCGATTCGTAGAAAACATCGGCCTTGTTCCCTCGCAAAAATCTCGATGCACAGAAGAGAACTGTAACCCTTTCCGGACCGCGCACTTTTGCCGTGGCGGGCGCGTGTGGCCGGCGCCTTTTTATGCTTACCGCCGCGTCCTGCGCGGCGAATATAAATATAAATACATTTGACCTGTTATTTCCAACCAACACCATTATTTTATACCTTTTTGTATATGTCATGTGTGAATAGTACTATGTGGTGAATTTGACAGAAAACGTATGTATAAAAAACATGATAGGGCCACAAAAAAGGAAGCTCGGATGAAAATTGTTCAAAATAAGTTGTAATGGGAAAAAAGGACCAGAAATGTCCGAAACGTTTGGATGCAATAGCATCAGATACGACGTGCACGTGATGGCATAAATTCTGTTGTATGAAGTGTTTTCAAATGATTTATAACTGTTTTCCTTAGCTCGAAGTGGAAATCCATTAATTTTTGGTTATTTTAGGAACTAGTTTGAGATCTAAGACTAGGTTTTTCATACGTACGACATGAGTATGTTACATAGATATGTAACAACATAAAACATTTTGTCGAAAAACTGAATCCTTGGAAAAATCAGCCCTGACACACATGGGGTGTCAGGCAGGTCTGGGAAAGGGTTAAATTCATTGAAGCGTTAGCCTTTGCTTACTATCGATGTTAAATCTCTACCGCTCTCCCCTCTCTCACCCTCCCACTCCCGCCAATTTCATAGTTATGTGGTTGGCGACACTCATCTGGTGCTGGGCTACATTTTTTTTTCTGCCGCGCAAGGTGATGGTCCGCTCTGACACCCTTTCTGCATGCTTTAACTCAAAGTTGTAAACTTGATAATATGTCTTCCAGTAGTACTATGAAGAAAGAAGTGCATTTCAACCGTCGATGAAAAAGATATAATCCATCAATAAAATGGATTGGCTTATCGACGATTACTGAAGAGAAGATGTATTTCATCGCCTATCAACCTCACCGTTTCCAGTGGTGTTGACAAAGGTTATAGCTCTCATCATTCAATCATTCTGAGCCCACCATTATGTTGTTGTTGAAGAAAATTGTTCATTTTCTTGGAAATGAGCTGTTTAACCTCCAGTAATGTGACATGGTCGTACAGAAGTGGTTTTGTGTCTTGCGAATAATTGCTCCAATGACAATATTTGAATCTTTACAAGTGAACGAAATATGAAGTGAGATTGTGCATATATGGACAAAATGATACTGCAATTGTGGACTTGGTTAAGGTCAAAGCTGTGGCGGTGTAAGGGTTGTTGAAAAAAAACTGAAAGGTGGCAGTACTATTTTGAACAAAGACTGAACGTTCTTTCGCTTTTCAAAACACTTTCGTAGATTTTTTCTTCTCGTTTTAGAGATTGTGGATTTCGGTTACCCGCAGAACACGGATCCAGGGGTTCTTAAAACGTTCATCACTCAACAAGGTGTGCGCACTGCGGTCAGTTTTCTGAAACGTGGTTCATTTCTACCAACGAGGAAAGGTCAACATGTCGAGCCGCATTTGGAATTTTGTGAACGTCAACACGCTTATATTTTGAGACGCTGAGCTCAAATTGGGCGGGGGTTGCCTATCGGCGTACGAGCCGCGGCGCGAGCGGTGCGGGTGTGGCCCTGCTAGGCTGCCGGGGCCATACTCTCCTCTGCGAAACGCGTATCGTTCCGCACGCTCAGGGGGGAGAGTAACTGCCTCCGACTCGGTACATTTCCCGTTCTCCGAACCCCAACCCTAGTGGAATCCTAAGGTATCGCTATGGTTCGGTTTCCGCTCTACCACCTGTTTTTTTAAGAGGTGGGAGCCTATTTGTCAAGCTCATTCTTCGTTGATGGGTCAGCCGCAGACTCACGGCTGAGGATAACCCTTTATGATAGCTTCCTTTTTTCGTAGTTATGTCAAAATTTCAGACCTCGCTAGGCAGTTGTCTGGGGGAATCCAATCCACTGAGCGCGAATATCGCGTTGAAACGCCTACCGCGTGGACTGGGTGTGGTTCATTAGGACAGAAAGCGACGTTTTCGCGTTTCGCAACGCGAAACGTTCTCCGCTGCGGGAACC